CCCAGCATTTTAACCGCTGACAAGCTGCGACTGAAACACAGGGCGAATAATTGATAAATATAGGACGTAAATGAAGACTAGTAATGAAAAGTTTTTCTTATGCGAATCTCTGTATAGATTTCTGCTTTACTGAAATGATGTTGAACGCTTCATTTATATACGAAGGCCTATTGACCTGTACCCGATGATTACCGTCTCATCGACTATAGAAGTGAACTCGAAATGTATCTTGACGCGCATTGACTTTATGTCCGACCCTCTAACACTACCCTATCATCTATTCCAGATATTCAGACTAGCATACCGGTGTTATGAGAGGTCAAAAAATGACAAACGCGTGTTAACCCGAAAGATGAAGAAAATTCTTCACTCAGGTGGCTCCTCATGTGACGTTAAAAATATGTATATCTCACCGAAATCTTCCTGTGCAGAACAAGCACATTGCACCCGGATTAGGGGATATCGAAATTTCTCTTTAAAGAAAAACTCATGCGAGTGATTCGGACACCAATCCATCTCTATATGGACAGACCTCGTTGGGGATAATTGACTTGATGTTTGTCGATAGAACTTTGTGGCTTGGCCAAAGGGGTGGGTTGGTACATGTAGAAGGCCTGTCTACATACAGTTTGGCCAATTACTGAACATGGTCAATAGTGCAGTGCAATGACAGACTTTGCCAACGATCTCGGCGAAACTGACTTTAGTGAATATCCATTAATGCAATTATTGCGACCTATGCAAATCCTCTCACAGTAATGGGTCGGAGAATGACTGCGGTGACTACAACCTGGCATCTTGTCTGCTCATTTCACACATCACCACACCCAAGTCGGCGCACATGTTGCTGCAATAGACTTTGTTTATGAGAATGAAACACACACCGCAATCGTGAACATGAACTGCTGCTGTGGCATGTTTGCTAAGCAGAATGCAACGCATCCCATATGCGTCAAATTCCGTGTGAATCAGCCGAAAAACAATGACGCTTGAAACGGGAATACAGAAGTGATACAAGGAGTACTCAAAGCGTCTGATGACATTCATGTTGTAGAGTCAGATTTCGTCAAGAGAACTTGGTTTTCAAGCGATTTCAAAATTTTGTCAACTTTGGTTTCTGCAGTCACCAGTACCGTGTTTGTTAATAATACCCAGTTACTTAATGTTGGTTGACGGGTAAAATTCTACAGTACTGAAGGTTTCAATAGCGTTCTTTTATCCCATCATGACATACAAACGTTTGTGTGACGCTCTTTTTACGTTAATTCAGTCTATCCAAATCCCTGTCCCCACTTAATAGTTTAGCACCAATTCACCACACTGTGGAACCCGATTCATTCAATCGGTTCATTTAGCCGCAGAATAATCCACTGAGGGATTGATTGAATGGACTGTTTGAAGCCTTGTCATCAGTGGCTTGCCAATCCAATCCATCAACGCACTGAAACCGTTTTTTCCATGTTCAGTGGATCCCGGATGTTGTGTCAAACAGTTGTCAAGACAAGGATCTGCTCAACGAATGAACGTTGCTCTGCCCAGGCATAATTTGCAGACCCATATTTATCATAGTACCTCGGACGCTGCCAGGCTGAGGATTGCTTCGGGTCTACAATTTTGGGGCACGGAAACTCGTCTGTTCAGTTTCTTAATACGAAGGCCCCAACCAGCGCCTTTCTCGAGTACTCTGCGAGGTTTACCGTGCAGAACGTTTCGGTTCAACTGTTTATGGCACGGAACGTCGCATATTGTTATGTACGACATAAGGGCGAACTTACTGCACCCAAACACACTTGAAAAGCCGAGAAATTACAGATGGTATACTAAATATGTTCCCTAATTATCAATTTGCTCGAATAGCTTCAGATTACGGTCGACAAGTGCACCAACTTATGGGGTAAAATATGAACCTAACCATTGGTAGTTGAATGGGAATTCTTCATCATCCTTAAGAACGACAGTATGCAAATGTCAGTTAACTTGCCCACCTCACCCCCCTCCGATCGGTTCAATAAACGTAAAACTTTAGACGTTTCACCCGTCTGGACTTCCAGGTATGATTCATGATAGTACAGCATAGGGTCCGTGCTTTATCCTGTCAATTGGGAGAGTTTATGTTATCCACTGGCATTATTCTTATCTTCAAAGAACAAAACACACTTTCTGATACAGTTGCATGGGAACCTAATCGACTTGAGAATAGATGTAGTTTATGTATGGTTACAGTATCCCAATTATTTACAGTTTACGGTTGCTACAATTTAAGATTCATCCGTCTCAGCATTTCTGTTAGGAATCGCTGCATTGGACGTATCAGATATGATACTCGGGGGACTTCATTTTTGCGGATGCCCGCACGTCTGGTGGAAGCGACCAAAATATCAGGGAGCCTGCGCCTATAATCGATCCACGATAAATATGCGAAAACAAATGCTGCTTTGCTGCGGGTCATTGTTGAGCAGTAAATGTTCCCTCTTAGATATATTCAAACTGCATTCTGGGAAATTTCCCATAAGTGGAAAGCAGAGACGGCTGTTTCTGTTTGCGAGGGTTCGGAGGTAAGTCTTGAACTACCGCGTTGTTGGTTTAATTAGTTCACCGGTAGCACTTTGGAAAACATCATTATACGAAAAATATTGGTATCTTCCGAAACGTATGCCGAACCTATCAATCATTGATTTTCTAGGAGAATGGTATGCCTGAAAAGTCCTTTTGGCACCGGATGACCTTTCAGAGACTATTGATCAAGGCGATGAGGTACAGACTAAGTACCCCGCATTTGATTCAGTCAACCACAGGTGGCATTTTGTCAGGATGCGTGTCGGTGGCAGTATGAGTGGTACACGCGGTTGGGCCGGAGACTAAAAATGAGTCTTTATCATTGACGTGAATGGTGAACTGTCTAATTTTGTTCGTCCAGCGAGTGGTCTTTCTAAGGGGACTGTGTTTCGACCCTTGTTACTACTCATCTATGTATGCCAACCCTGAGGTTTGTCTCACTAGACTAATGAGCACAGCTCCAAAACTACTGTGGGTAGCTTCAGCCATGATCCGTATTTGAAACCCCCACGTAACCCGTCAAAATGCTCGGTCCTCTGCGTGAATATCAGTTCATGCTACTCACCCCGGAACCGATTAATGTAGAACAGTTCGACCTGAATCTACGGAGCTTCTTACATTTACGCCCACTGAACCTACGCTGACCCGTCACGTTTGAAATTGGTTTAGTTTTGATCTCATGCAAATTGTTTGCTGGTTTCCGATTACCATACATATTTTGCACGCAGTTGCTGACTGAATTGGTAAGATATTTTTCGTTCATAATTTATGATTACGATCCAATATGTTAGTCATACTTCTAGTTTTTCCCAGTCAGCCGAATAGCTGCGCTCGACGATATTGTGACGTGTCATTCCACGAGACCCAAAACCGATGAGGTTTCACCTTCCAACCTTCCACTGTCACCTAAATAACTTCATTCGCCGGTATCTACTGTCCCCACGACTTCTGGGGACTTCAAAGTACTGGCTGGGTAGTCCTGACTCACATTAATTCAGGCCATCCTCTAGGATGCACGGTGCCAACGGATAATAATCGAACCCGTCCCAGTGGTGAGTACCGGCGGTCATCCCTGGAATCGACCTTAACCAATGAAAGCATTGTGGTAGACGTCACGACTGCCCCCAGCACCTTTCCTCTAGGACAGTGGCTCCACGCCCCGCACTTCCTTCTGGACAGCAGTTCGAGAACAATGGCCTTCTCAACAACGAGGGGACCGTACATAAAGCGCCCTCTAAACAGCTTGTGCATTCACTAATACATACTAATGAAACATGCGGCATTTATTTCATAGTCCCAGTAAGTGTTAAAACTTCCACAAACGAATGACGACACGAGAGTCAGCACAACCACACCTTGCATGGATTTCGAGAAGGCCTTTCAACACCCTCCGTGAATCATCACGAAGCTCAAGAACAGTAGCTCCCTTACGTCTTCGACCATATGATCCTGTCTTAGAATCAGACGGATAAACTTGATATCAAAATCCCGTCTAGCTGCCTAGTCGTCGTTCATGCGGCTAGTATCCTGTTGCACTGAGAACGAACGACCAGGCTTTGACAGGTGTCATTGAGGAGAATGAAACCAGTGAAAACACGCACTCAAACAATCCGGGCGACCGAAATGAAGTTATCCACATATGTTCAATGCCACCGACTCGTCCAATAAGGGTCCGAACTTTCGATGTACGTGGACGTACGATCGTTACTAGTGTAAACATCTGGAAGATAGGTAGCCAGTAGTCAAATGACGAGTCCTGAATTTCCTATGTACGCATTACCGTTTGACCCAGCGAGCACGAGCGACTTCGTTTTGTTCGGCTTAGACTAGCCATCCAGTGAATATTTCCGACTCATGCACGGTACCCAACTGCATCGTATTATTGCAGTTCAATTGTAAAGCCAGGTTTTGTTTTTCAATCCTACTGGCTTCCCTGTCCTCGTGCGAGTGTCTTGTGTGATCCATACCCAGAGAGAAAGGCATTCGAACCTCATTCCGGTGGTCTAATTCTTATGATCGGAACTAATCAGTGGACAATGCATAGAAGTGACGCGACGGACTATCTTGCTCCTAAAGATGTGATTCCAACGACTGAATCTGAAACAGTATGGTGTCTGCCATAGACATATACAAGCAAATTTACTGTAATAAGTGGTTTCATCACAAACTGTGTGTAAACGACTTTGCTGGTGGACGGTAAGGGTGATTTTCCATTACAAACGTCGTTCTCCAATCAATCATATAATTCATTTCAATCAATTTATCAGCTATAAACCGTGTGTCATAGGCACATTAGTTCCAGCTGCTACAGTTTCGATCACCGGGAAACGGGCGATCAATTGTATGTCATATATTCACTTCTAAGAACGACAGTTCGATAGATTATTGCCCATCCTAAGCAAATCCCATTGCTATGTACCGACATGGAGCAAAATTCCAAGTACGTCGAAGGTTATAAGTATTACAGGTGTGAAAAGGCAGTAGAAAAGCAGCGAAATCAACGGATGTTTTCACATGAGTCCGGTTGCAATCAAATGATGAACCGAAAGGCAGAACGACCATAATGGATCCGATTTTCAGTGAACAAAACTATATGAAGACTCAGTCGAATTGGCGAATGATCAAGAGGGTAAGGTTGGCTTGGTTGACCAGACGATTGGCACTGTTATAGACAGCTTGTTGACTAGCGAATCAGAAAGGACAGGAAGTAAAATCAGTAACGGTAATGGTATAAGAAATCGCAACCCAGAGGGAGAGAGACTTTGATACCATATACAACGCCAAATATGCTCTTATCTACGGACCGACTCGTACTAGAAAAAGATGGTAAATACGACCCAAAGATCAATTAGGATATTGTACTGCTCATTCCGTTTCTAAAACCACATAGAAATCGAGATTGGAAAAGTGAAGGGCCGAGTTATCTGCGAGATCTGACTACATAATTATCAGCGGTTGTTGGTTTGTCTTCTGAGCTGAAAGCGTTGGTTGGTAAAATTTCAGCGCCAACCGAGGTGCACCACTAACTAGCGACAAAATGTTTGTGACAAAAGTGCTTAGCTAAGCAAGCACACCAATGAACATCTGTTCTAGTTGCGCTACCAACACCCTATTCAACAGCTAGCGATAGTTAACGGGATTGATACCAGTTGCCTGTTTTGAGTTCAGTTTGTTCCGGAAGAGTGCCGGTTAGTTTTAAACTGTAATCCGTCGATGTCCAACAGTTTCGTCGAGGGGCGAAATAGCGATAACAACAACCATATAAACAAACAACACCAGTTTCCACATGAGCGATTCACCAGTCAAGAATGTCTTGAACCGAGAGGAGATAACTTAACAAAACACCCAAACAGACAAAGAAATGGAGGCGCGAACTTAATAACAGGGCGCAGATAACTAGTGCTATGTTGTAGATGGTCACGAAGTCCACCTAGAAGATTACATAGAAATGTCACATACTTGTTGTCTTTAAAATAGGCCTTCAGGGTTGCACTGAACTGACGGCAGTAGTGTAGAAAGCTGCGTTTCTGTTCGTCTAAGGCTTGTCTTTGTGTACTATGTTGCAGCGCATCGAGCACTTGTGTTACGGCGTCCAGAACTTGCTTTATGGCGTTTGCAATCACTCTAGAATATATGATAATGAAGATATCAGAGGAAAAGGACTCACTTAATCAGTTCTATAAACGAACGTCGATCGGAAATCTTATCCGGTATGGTACTCAAACTGGCCTTCAGGACCTGGGCTTTTGCTTCAATTTCACTTAAGTAGGGGCGCCGAGAGCTCCGGTGAACACCTGGCACAATAGTTGTGGTAGAATTTCTCGGCTTACCTCCCTCTTGAAAGCCGGCAAGTCGTAAACTCAGCTCTGAGAGGTCCACTTCTTTCTCAACACCCAGCCGCTGTAAAAGGCCAATAATGAACTCTTGGCTGAAGCCAGGACAACGTTTTTCCACCTAAGCGGATCATTTAGAAATGTTAAACTGGCTACCTTGGAGAACGCCTCCTTTAGTCGTTTTGTAGCAGTGTAATCAATTTCTTCCATCTAGTAGGGTTGGCTGTTCAAAAGTAAACTGGCATCATCACAAACTTTGGTGAAAGTTGGTTCGAACACTACTTGACGACTGGCAGGGGTGGGCACATGTTGGTTTGAAACGACCTCGTAACTAGGCCAACGGGCCGCTGCCATCGGATAACGAAACCCGTCTTGAGTGAGGGCTGAGTTTTTCAAAACGAATGTGATCTTTACTGAAACGGAAAAAGACTTGAATGAAATAAGGTTATGAAAGAATAACCGGGGCTGAACATCAATGCGCCAATACCTCACAACCACGGCATTTCATTTGAAAGGTAGAATAGGGGAAAAACCTAGTGAAAACCTGACAAATTCTGGCCGTATCTCAACGAAGGACACTGAACTGTCAGCAGGCTAAATCACCAGGAATAGGCCGAACACAGCTAGAAGACCGCATACAGTCGTGATAGGACGGTAGCACCATGAAACCAGCAGCATCTTGCTAGATTGGTCGATGAATATAGGTCCGGTGAAATTTCAAGGTGTAGTGTACAACATCATCCAATAATTGAACTTAAAGGATCCATTCGTAAACGACGCACGTACCGAATCAACACCGATAAACCTATGAAGTTGCTAACCCGTGGACACATCCATGTAAGCAAAAAGCGGACTTGTAGTACTCTTGATGCCCAAGTGATTAAAGCGCAAATTTACGTTTGCTAATTTGCGTCACTTGTGGCGTCAAAGTCATCTCACTAGATTTTCAGGGTCGTGTGTACCAGGACACAGTAAGCGCTATGTTGTTTTATGGATGCGAGACATGGCCTCTGCGCACAGATGATGTGAGGCATCTTCAGGTTTTCGACCACCGATGACTCAGAAGCTTGGATGGTTTTGGATAGTAATGAGGTGATTAGAAAACGGGTATTTGGTGGTGCGCAAGGCACCTCAATCCGAGAAAACATCCAGCATCATCGACTACGATGACTCGGTCATGTGCCACGCACACCGAAACACCGTCTACCAAGACAAACAATCTTTCCAGACTGTCTGATTGAGCGGTTGGAGGTGTATGTAGGCNTATATATATATATGGTTGTACGGCAGTGAGGCACCGGTGTCAACACTGATGTTGCTGTCTTTGAGGAAGATGAATTTGCTGACCGGAAGGTTCGCGGTTCGAACCCGACCTCTGCCTCTCCACTTTCTCCGTCTAAGCTTGGGCGACATGGCAGTTAGGCACCGAAAGGATGCTACAGCTGAACGATTATCTTTACCTTCTTTTATCATTACAAGCGCCAGTGAGGGCGTGACTGGACCACACCTGAGTGTCTGTAACTATTGATCAATGCATCTTGACGTTGTAAACGGCGTTTGTCTGCTGCGTCGGCATATACTCCGATAGATGACAGCTCTGAAACTGATAAAGCTTCCATCGTGACTTGTTACGGTTGCTTCCGTCACCATGAAGTACGGATACCGTGATTCAGGCAGGTGATATGAGTGTTCAGGTCACTCAAGTAAGTGCTGATGAACCCAATATTGGCGGTCGAGTCACGGTTGGCGCTCAAAGAACAAATAGTGGAGAGAGACTTGTTGAGTTATGTGCTGAACATCACTTACTTCTAGCCAGCACAAGCGCTCACACCATGCAAATTGGGGGACACCAAATGCAAACCAGCTTTGGACTCATATGAACCATGTGGCAATCAACCAGGTGAAGAGTATCAACACTAGATTGTAACCCATCTTGGTGCACACCGCTCGACTCCGATCGGGGTATGGTGCAGGAATACACCTATTCACTTCCCCTTCGCTAATGCAAAAGCACTTGGTCTACCACCTGCAAAGTGTCTCTATAGCTCAGCAACACCGAGTTGAGTTTGCTGAAGGGCTCTGAGAACCTGAGGGGCATGGTGGCGATTTGGATGACGACTGGAGAGGGGTGGAAGAAGCACTAACCAGAACGTATGAAACAATCTGCCAGAGATCACTCAAACATCCCAGTGAACACGATCTCATCACGATCAACAGCGCTTACTGTAGCCTGGAAAACTACGCCAGCAATAAACGACTGTGCTGGCATGCTCAGATCCCTCAAAAGCCGATTATTGAAGAGCCTAATGATTGACAGAGAGGGCCCGAAAAGGTTAGAGAATGGAATACTCCCGGGGAATTCGTTATTGGATATGGAGTACATCAAAGATATTGCCCTTCGCGAATCAGGTCCCTTACAAATACAAACTAGTATATATAATTGAAGTAATTCTGTTGCACGGTTCGGCAATCGTATCACCCGTAAAGTGCTGCTGCAAGGACCGGTGAGATAAAACCCAAAACTTAGGCTTTCAAACGAGCCCCTAGATAAGTTCACTCATCTGGACAGCTGCATAAGTCTAAGCTCACTGGCGAAAGTTGAGATTATTTCCCCAAACTGGAAAGGCTTGAACAGAATTTGCCAACCTGACTTTTGGGGCGTAGACGTGACATCAGGTTGGTTGTCGACGTTTCTATTCGATCTATTCTAGTTTAAGGATCAATTTTAAGTACTTTGGAAGACTGTTTGACCACCGGTGCCTCTAAACCATTGCGTACGTTAGTTTACATCAGTAACACTGAGGTAAACCTATGAGTTTTTGTGAGAGTCCACTCTCACTCGATAGACAGACTGGTCACATTCCACAGGTTGGGCTAGATGGGCCGTACAATTCACGTGCCTCTGCCTCATAGAACCGTTTCCGCCCAACCATGTATAGGACGGAGGCGATTCAGGTCAGTCCATGACTCAGTAATGAACCACGAATCCCCCTTACAAATCAACTCGGTCAGGTTGGTAACTGTCGTCTCCACCAACGGGCATTGTAAGGAAGATGGAAGTCTTGGCATTCAAGGCCCTCAGAATGTGTATTTCATAAGTCGGCTTTCAGCTGTACCTTGCGCCCCAAGCAGCAGGACCTACGGTCTCAAAACTCTTGAATGGACCCTGTCTGCTATAGGAGCTCGTCGATTCACAGACTGATACACTGATCAAGGCTTTTGCCCCGACTCGTCGGGTCACGTTCGTTCTTGTGATTCAGTAGCCTTCGTTCGCCTGAAAGGCACAAGCGAAAAATGGGTGTAGCGCTGCTCTGTAAGTTCCCGGTGCAGAGCAGTAAAGTTGTCACCCGGCATGAACAACCGCTGGGTGAAGCCTATTCCGTCTAGCTCAGGCAACTTGGCAATATCCTAGCTTCCTTCGGATGGCATGGTAAATAGGCACCGAAAGGGTGCTACAGCTGAAAGATTATTATATTATATTATTTACTCCACGCCTCAGCAACTAAAATGAGGAAAACTGTTGCCTAATAAAGGTATGCGCTCTGAGCTTGAAAGTCTCATCCTCCAGCTGCAGCACCCTTTCGGTGTTCAGCTGCCATGCCACATGGAGGCACGAGGGGTGGGATACTGTCAGGTCATCCAAACCTAGACAGGGGAAGTCGAGTGGCAGAATTCGGGTTCGAACCACGGACCTTCCGGTCAGTAAATTCGCGCACTAACCACTTAGTCCATCTCGCCCCCCTTGAAAATCTCATCGTCCCCGCGATTTTAATTGAGTCAACAGTGAAAAACCCGCTGACCTTGTTCAAACAGGGCATAAATAAGTATTAGGTCTCCTCGGAGGCGACGATAATCCTGCAGAAAGCGTCAAGCACCGCGAGACGCGTTTCATGGTCAACGGACTTAAGGCCGGCAACCATTTTCGTCGCAGCTCGTTGGACGCACTCAATGAGGGTTACGACTATATTGCATTCTGAGTACAAAACCTGGTTGGCATACTCAAGAAACACAGACCACATGGAGTATCTGAAAGTCCATGCAAGTGACGTGCGGGAAGTTGCGCTGAATTATTCGTCGAACGAATGCCTTTTTAGCCGACTTTTCAGGATGAAATGAGAAGCTCAAGCTTGAATGAGCCAAATACCTACATGGTTCTTGTTATATATTGACGTTGTGTTTAACTTTTTACTCGCTACTCGTTGAGCTAATTGTGTTTCCTAATGTTTTAGCTGATGTACTGAAATTGATAGAAGATTAAAGCCAATCATTCGGCAATCCTCGTTCTCTGTTTCTGGCACAATCATTCGAGTGCGCAACAGTTCTTGTTATCTATCCTCGTACTGTCTTCTGATCTATTCTCACCGTGCACGAACAAAGGCGTCGCTGAGTCTCCTCCAAATGACATGTGGACAAACTTTTCGTCATTCAGAGAAAAATAACAGTCCGGCGACCACTGTTTCGAGTAGTCTACATCCACTTGGAGGGCGTCGTTATCATCATTGTCAGCTGTAATAACCGCGTACTCGTCGTACTGTGGTTGTAGCTGCCGCAGTTTTGTTCACCGATGATTTGGGGGG